GTCTACAAAAGAAAGCGAAGGAGTAGGCGGAAAACGGGGCTCACAAAGCAAAGATGGCCGAATTCAAAGCGGCAGGGTCAACCTTGACAGATACAGTTTCAAAGCCTCTGATGGACCATGCGATTGCTGACTGTGATACGGCCAGCATCTTTGCGAGGGAGGCCATAGAAACCCGAGCCTATAACAAGGGATTTTTTGACGGGAGGAATATTGGTACTGACAAGACAATGGAGAAGCTAGCTGACGACATGTGCTGATGTGAAAATCGTGGCTTCAAACACAGATGGATCAAGGAACTTTAGGCAGCGGGGGTGGATTCGACTTCACCGTTGTACCAAAGTTATGTAATGTCGTGTGAGGCTTATGATGCTGAGAAGTCGAATGACGAGGGGGAGACTAATAATCCTCCAAATGTACAGTCGGCGGAGTAATTCGATTTGATCTTTAAGTTGTTGTAACTAGGGCGCCAATCGGCTATAGATTAAATGTATCTGAATTGAATGTTAATAAATATTGAATTACCCTTATTGGCATTCACAATATAAATTGTGTTTCCTCATTATGCTGATTTGAATGTTTAAATGGCGTTCTAAATTTGGTGGCTTGTGGGCCAATCGTGCCAAGCATGAAGAGCTCTTCGAATTCGAAGGTTTTTCGATGGCCAATCATACCGAGCACGAAGGTCGCTCCTAATTTAGATGCTTTTTCATTGGCCAGTCATGCCGACTATGAAAGGCGCTCCGAATTTGGAGGCTTTTTCAGATAAGGTGATTAAAGAAAAGAGATAAATAATCGGAAATGAAATAATGAATTACATCATTGGATAATTATATATATACAAAGTGAGGTAGTAAACTGAAGCACAAAACTGCGCAAATAAGGCAAAAACAAAAATAGCTAGAGATATTAATGATAAAATTTGTGCAAATGAGTTGAATTTCAGGGTTGAAGTAATTTCTTTCCGTTCATATCCGAGAGTCGATGTGCCCTTGCGCCAGTAATTGAATCAACCTGGTAGGGGTCGTCCCAATTAGGGCCAAGTTTTCTATCCACAGGATTTTTTGCAGCCGACAACATTTTTTTCAAGACCAACTCTCCAGGGGTGTATCGACTTAAATGCACTCTTTGATTATACGACTTGGCAAGTTGTTGCTGATATAACCCATATTGACGAGGGCCCAGTCTCGGCCTTTTTCAAGTAGATTCAGGTCCAAGGCTAGCATCATATCATTTCAGCCTATGTTGAAAGCTTTTGATATGAGGGTTGGCAAGCCAATCTCGAGGGGGATGATAGCTTCTGTTCCAAAACACAAGGCGAATGGTGTTTCACTAGTGGATCTCCAAGGTGTGGTGCGATGAGCCCATAATACGCTTGGGAATTCCTCAACCCACTTCCTTTTGGCCTTCTCTAATCACTTTTTAATGTCGTCTAAGACTACTTTTCTCCAAGCCTCTACCTGGCCATTACTTTGCGGATAGGCTAGCGAACAAAAATAAGGCCGAATCCCATATATGTCACATAAGTCCCAATAAACACCGCAATCAAACTGAGTGTCGTTATCAAAAATAAGTACTCTTGGTATGCCAAATTGAGTAATAATATTCTTCCAGACAAAATGCTTGATGTTCGCATCCCGTATATGTGCTAATGGTTACGCTTCGACCCACTTTGTGAAATAATCTGGCGCAAGAACCGTTTATTTCCTTGAGCCCTTGGCAGCGGTGCAACTATGTCCAGGCCTCATTGGGTAAAATGACAAGGACTGGTGACTGAATTCAGTTCTCCAGTAGGCAGATGAGTAAGGGAAGAAAACTTTTAAGATTGTTTACATTTTTGCACGTAGCCCTTAGCGTCATTACACATAGTTGGCCACTAGTACCCCTGAGTGACTGCTCGATGGGCCAATAACTGTCATCCGGAATGGGCGTCACAACTGCTTTCGTGTATTTCAGCTAGAAAATCTTTGACTTGGTCTGGATGGACACATTCCAAGTAAGCCCCAGAGAGAGATTTCTTATAAAGTTTTCCGTAGGGGTCCAGATATTATCGTAGAGCTTTATCTTGTTGTTTTTGGGCTTCCTTCTTATCCTCTGGTAGCTGTTCTAAAGAAAGAAATACATCAATGAAATCCATCCAACTCGACCTTCTTTTGATAGTAACTATGACAAGGAGATCAAGGATACTAATACTTGGCTCTAGAATGAAACCCATTTCGATGGTTTGCTTAAATTCTGAATTTACGGCAAAAATCAAACAAGCGAGGGCATCGGTACGTGCATTCTGATCGCGAGTAATCTAATTCAATTCATGGTGGTCAAATTTCGTGACCATGGAACTGGTCGTTTTCATGTAAGCTGTCATACGGTCATTCTTAGCTGCATATTCCCCCTTTAATTAATTGATGACCAATTTTGAGTCGCAAAAAACCTACAAGCATCTGGCTTTCAAATGAAGGGCATTTTGGAGGCTGACTAACAAAGCTTCATACTCGGCCTTGTTATTTGAGGCATCAAAGCCTAATTTGGCTGATTGCTCAATTATTGCTCCTTTAGGGGTCATGATTACTACTTCCGCCCCATTGTCGCGCTGATTAGATGACTCATCAGAATATATCTGCCAAATATCCTTGTATACATTCTCCATTCCAGCTGAGGCTTAGGGTTCAACTGGTTGGGGCTTAAATCTTCAAGACTCCCCATGAATTTAGCGACAAAGTCGGCCAAAACTTTCCCTTTGATAGTTGTTCTTGGTGAAAATTAGAGGTCATACTGGCCAAGTTTCAATGCCCACTTTGAGACTCGCCTTGATGATTCTGTGTTATGGAGTACCGAACGGAGAGGATAATCCGTTAGCACCTTAATGGTGTGAGCTTGAAAGTAACGTATTAGTTTTCTGGCAGCCACTACGAGACCCAAGATAAGCTTTTCTAGAGGTAGATATCGGGTTTCGACATCCATCATTGCTTTACTAACATAAAAGATAGGCTTCTGCTCACCGACTTCTTCCTTCAACAATACGACTCTTACCACTCGATCGGGCACTACCAGATATAGGATGAGTACATTGCTTGGAGATAGGGTTGTCAAAAGAAGGACGAAGCTGAGGTATGTTTTCAGCCCATTTAGAGCGGTTTGACATTCGAGGGTCTAGTTAAATGCTTTTCCCTACCGAAGTGTTTGAAAAAAGAGTTTGCACCAGTCTGAAGAACGACTGATAAATGTATTACGGGCTGCAACTATCCCTATCAATCTTTGTACCTTCTTAGTTGATCCTGGTGAGGTGAGTTCTAGGATGGCCTTTATTTGCTTTGGATTAGCCTATATCACATGATGATTTACGATGTAGTCGAGAAACTTGCCAGATCTGATGCCAGATGTACATTTCGAGGCATTGAGCTTCATCTTGTATTTTCGGAGAATGTTGAAGATTGTAGCTAAGCCGGCTAAGTGAGCATTCTTTTGTTTGGATTTCACCACCATATTGTCAATGTACACATCCATGGTTTGGCCGATTTGTTCTTTGAACATGGTAGTGACCAGTCTTTGATATGTCGCCCCAGCATTTTTCAGTCTAAAGGGTATAACCTTGTAACAATAGGTTTCCCTTAGAGTGAGCAATTCTGTTTTATCCTGGTCAGCTGGATCCACGTAGATCTGGTGATAGCCCCTGTAAGCATCTAGAAAGCTTAGGCACTGATGTTGAGTAGTTGTATCCATGAGTTGATCAATTCGGGGTGAACGAAAGCACTTGTCACGCCCCAAACTTGCCCCTAAAAGTTTGGGCATGACCTACACAGAAACGGACGCATAACCTGGTATACATATCATATGGGGCCTGAACGGAATCATTTACCAATATAAATTAACATAAATAAAAGAACTATTTGCTTTGGATTAGCCTATATCACATGATGATTTACGATGTAGTCGAGAAACTTGCCAGATCTGATGCCAGATGTACATTTCGAGGCATTGAGCTTCATCTTGTATTTTCGGAGAATGTTGAAGATTGTAGCTAAGCCGGCTAAGTGAGCATTCTTTTGTTTGGATTTCACCACCATATTGTCAATGTACACATCCATGGTTTGGCCGATTTGTTCTTTGAACATGGTAGTGACCAGTCTTTGATATGTCGCCCCAGCATTTTTCAGTCTAAAGGGTATAACCTTGTAACAATAGGTTTCCCTTAGAGTGAGCAATTCTGTTTTATCCTGGTCAGCTGGATCCACGTAGATCTGGTGATAGCCCCTGTAAGCATCTAGAAAGCTTAGGCACTGATGTTGAGTAGTTGTATCCACGAGTTGATCAATTCGGGGTGAACGAAAGCAGTTCTTAGGGCAGGTTTTGTTCAAATCAGTGAAGTCCACGCAAACATGCCATGATCAATTTTTCTTCTTTACGACCACGGTATTGTATAACGACATGGGATAAGTTACTTCCTGAATTGCCCTTAACTTCCAAGAGTTTGCCGACTTTGTCAACTATGGCCAAAGCATGCTCGGCGGCTAATCGACAGCTCTTCTGAACGATTGGCTTGGCTTTAGGGTCAATATTCAAGCTATGCATGGCTACGTTAGGGTCCACACATGGCATCTCATAAGGTGTCCATGTAAAAACATCAATGTTGCCAAGTAAAAAGGAAACCAACGCTTGTCGCTTGACTACACTAAAATAGCTGTCAACCAAGAAGAACTTTTCTGGATCATCATTGATTTCTGCTCAACCCAGATCCTCAGTGACCTTTTCAGTTGGGGTTTTACCGACATCCTCTAGGCTCTCCCTACCTGAGACTTCAATTGAGTTTACTTCCAATTCCCTGGGTTTCTTCACCGAAGCGATGAGATAACAATCCTTCATTGACTTCTGAGAGCCCCAGATCTGTTCGATGCCATATTGAGTTGGGAAATGAAGAAGTCAATGATAGGTGCTTGGTACGGCCTGCATCGTGTGCAACCATGTTCGTCCCATGGTCATGTTGTAAGGTGATGGAAGCTTGACAATTAGGAATTCCACATCAAGTGTTTTGGTGCCTGCGCGCATTGGTAATGTAAGGGGTACTCTGGATTGGCGTTGAAGTTGAATAGAGGATAATCAACCGGCAGAAGATCCGAATCATTGAGGTCGAGTTTAAAGAACGTCTTGTAATACATTATCTCAGAGGTGTTCCCATGATCAATTAGGACACGTTTGATGGCGAATTTATTCACCCGCAATTTGATCACAAGGACATCATCGTGCAGGAGGGTCATTCCTTCGAGATCAGCATTAGAGAAATTAATCTCGTTCGACAAACGGGGCCGTTTGGCTAGCGTATATGGCTTAGATGGGATTGATTGTTGTGGCTTGATTTTATTTACTCTGTTTGGAGGCAGCAAGCTATATATCATATGAATTATGCTGAGTCGAGGTGAATCTGGGCGTAGAGCCACTACGTTTGGCGAACTACTACTCTTGAGGAGATATTCAGATAGTCGGCCATCCTGGACCAATTCCTCTAGATGATCCTTCAGAGCACAACATTTATTGGTCTCATGTCCATGGTCTTTGTGATATTCACATCTTTGATCTCTTCGTCTCGTGTCAGGGAGTCCGATCATCTTAGCCAGCCATTTAAAGAATGGTGGGTGATGGATTTTAGGCAGGATCTTATTGATCAGCTTGGACAACTATGCATATTTCTTGTCTGACCGCCTTGGGCGCCTACTTTCCACTTGATACTATTCACTCGGCCGATGTGACTTTTGGTAATTTGTTTCTTCTTGACTGGCCTCTCGGCTCTGGACTTCTTATTCTTCCTGGTGGTGCGGTGCTTAATGGTTGTACCAGGATAGGTGTTGCCATTTCTATAGCTTGCTGGTTGGCCTTTATTCAGATTGCATCATTTACCTTGCAGTACTTTTCAACTTTCTTCATCAAGGCCTAGACTGTCTTGGGAGGCCTTCTAGTCAGTGAACTTCTAAGCGGGCTGTTAGGCTACAATCCAATCTTAAAAGCGGTAATGGACATGGAATCATTGCATTCATCCTCAACAAGATTAAAGCACTCCAAATAGCGCGCTGAGTATTCTTGCAAAGTTTTATCCGACTTGATTTTCATTGCCCACAATGAGTCTGTTTGCTTTGGTTGAGTCTCATTGGTGATGAATCTCCCCCTGAAAGATTTTTGGAGCTGATGGAAACTCTGGATTGAAGCCGCTCAAGTTTCTAATCCCACCTGACGGTTAGTGGTCCCAAGCTACTGGGAAATATCCGATGCATGAGTTCTTCATCGTCTGCATGTAATGTCATTGCCTGTTTGTAATGATGAATATGATCTGTAGGGTTCGACTTGCCATCATACAAAGTAAACGTTGGTGACTTGAACTTCTTAGGTAAAATGTCTTTGACAATACACGAAGGGATCATGCTTGTCTTCTAAATCCGAATCATCATCTCCTTTCTTACGCCGTTGTACATGCAGACTTCCTTCAGATGAGCTTGAAGTGTTCACTCGACTCCTCTTTCTGGGCTCTTTGGATGATGAATATGATGTATTGTTATTATCATCATGACTCCAATGCTGGCGTTGTTACTTAACTCTCCTCTCTGGCGATCGGCCCCGATCGCTGTGCGGTGCATTCTGTTAGGACGTTGCCAACTGTTGGCACAGATGCTCATTATCAGCTGCCATGTCCTCCAGCCGCTGTTCATTTCATTTTGGTCGGCCTATCAAAGTCTGCATGGTATTTTCCACTGAGGTTGAAGGCAAAGAAGGAGTTATTACGTGAAAATTCAAAGATCTTTATGCGGGAGTATTTTCCAGACCAAATACTATTCCTGTATAATATTGTCTCCAATGAGTGAAGGATCTTGCATTGGGTCTGCAATGGTTGAGTTTGAGTATTCCCACAGACAGTGCCAATTATAACGAAGTGGATTTGTAAATACTCCTCGAGTCCAAGCACGTCCTTGTGATCTTTGCAACGTCACCTGAAATAGATAAACAGCTCTGGACGGTGGTGCCAGAATTAGCACCTCAATGAACAAGTCAGTTCTTCTTCGAATAGTTGATATTTTCTATTTCTTACAGCACAAGTTGCTTTTACATACCTCTTTCCTCAGCCTCATTCCCTCTTTTATAGAGTCTTTCTCTGGTCCCACTTTCTTATCATGTTTTTTTGGGATGGAACATCATAGTTTTGTACGACGGGACCCTTCTGACTACCCTGGACTGCTCGACTTCAATATATTACATGAATATCCCTAGTTCGGCATATAATATGATTCTTAATATGATTCTACAATGACATCCATAGTCCAATGGGCTTTGGCCTCATATGACCCAATTGACAGGTCCAGTTCGTAATTGATTATTTTTATTCGACTCCCTCAAAAGTTGAGGGCCAATTTTTTATTACAAAATACAACCCTTATAATATTTTTGGTATTTGATCAAAGCACAATGTTAACCAAATCCTGTAAGTATTTACTTGTGTTGACTTTGAACCAACATCAAAAAGGAAATCAAGAGTACCTATTCCACTCGTGCTCTTTTTCTTTTCTTTTTCCCTTCAATTTTTTTGATTTATTATATTATATTAATTAATATTGATATAAGATGCTCACACTATAATACAATGCGACCACACATAGGATCGTGTTCCATGGTTGGTAATGAAAAGCCTTCCCTTTTATATGAGTTGAATTCAAGCTCTCATACCAAAGAGTAAAAAATGGCTCCCTTTTATATTATTATTATTTTTATATTCTTTTATATTTTATTTTGTGAGCATCACAATAAGTTTACAACAATGATCCAAACCTCTCATCTCTTAAATTTTGTGATGAGGATTATTTGTACAAAAAATTAGATTTATCGAATATCAATGAATAGATAAACAAATCGTATTTTATTTTATAAAATAGATGATTTTAAGTTTTTTTTTTATTGGTCAATAAAAAATAACTTTATTGATGGAAATCATCTAATCAAGAAGATATATAATACATCAATAAAGTAAAAGAAGTGGTGAGTGCAAAATGCATCATAACGAGACAGAACGATCCTAACTAGGTTTTTACCAAAAAGCAAACACAATCATGTATAATATAACAAATCCATTAACATTATTCCTTTTCATAACAAAAGTGCGAAAGCTATAACCTTAATCTGACTAAACAATAGTCATTCTCTCTCGTTTACATGATAGTTCATTAATTACAATACATTTACAAATGCCCTTAGGCTTACATAAACCTGAATAAAAGAGGTGTAACTGTCATTTGAAAAATATATTAGTCATTCTAAAAATAAAAGGCCATATGGCCGAAATGAAGAAATGGAGCTTCTCTAACTCAAATACAATTTTCTACACTTATACATAAAAAATGTTAAACAATGTGGAATGAACATATTGCCCAGTAGAAATCCTTTACATGTATATGATCATGATACTCCACATAATACGTATATATACAATTCTCTTTTGTTATCCAAAAATATATATACATAAGTATACATTTTTTTCTTGAAAACTCCATTTGTTAACATTTCATTTCAACTTTGCTATTTAAAAGGTTTCAAAAGTTCTGTATAACCAAAATAAATTCCAAATGTAACATTTATTGGTTCACAATAAGAAGTAAATCAAAAGAAATCTCAAACAACTATTTGACCATTCAACTATCTACTATGGATTATAATCCGAAGATAACCTCAACGAACTATTTACTAATCCACGAATAAGACTAACGCCAATTCCACATTTTCCTCGCTATAAGCCTAGAAGGACAATTAATTGTGTCTTTTACATCTCCACCATGTTTCCATACCTCAACACAATTACAGTTATACAAAATAAAATAAAGTAAAATATCACAATCACACGCATCAATTTTGGGCTTCATTAAGCCATTACAACACAGTTTATCGAGCGCTAACCGGAAGAAAACTGGAACCTATCTCAACATGCCACGCTTTACCCGTTGCCAGTTGGAAGAAAACGGAACCTCCATATAGCCCAACGATACACACAATTTACTGGTGCTAACTAGAAGGATACTAGAACTTATCTCAACGCGCCACACTTTGCCGGTTGCTAGCAAGAAGGAAACAGAACATCTGTATAGCTCAACATTATATACGCTTTACCAAGCTCCAACCGAAAGGAAACAAAACCTATCTCAATGCGTTACGCTTTACCAGGGGCTAGTTGAAATGAAAAGGATTTTCCATATAGCACTTTCATCACAGATATCAACATCAATCAATCATTTCCATATTTTCAAATAAACCCGCAATGGTACATAACACATAAGGTTGGATACATTTAAACCAAGCTTTACCAACAATTGTTTCTAAATGCACAATAAGTATAAAACATAACTTCCCGAACCAAACATCATTTCCGTTCTTTCTCATACAATCATTCAATTACACAATTTCATTATTCAAGTATCATTATTACCACATTAATTCTCCATCTCATTACTCAATCATAAATGGTTTCAATTCACCCTAAGTTAATACATTCTCCATAACAATGCCATTCTTCATAATTGGCAATAACAATTATCCCTATCCAAGATTTCAATTAGGCAAAATTTGTGTTTAACTAATAACAATGTACATAATCATTCTAAATGAACACAATAATATATATATATATATATATAATGTGACATTTTTAATTTATCAATAATCTCAATCAAATTGCTTAAAACACATGCTCTCAATTCTTATCCTTTTCTTTAATTAATAATATTAAATTCAACTTTGCCAAAATGATCAAAATCTCCAATTCGTCCAAATCACTTGATGTTAAGAAAATTAGGGTTTACCTTGAATAATTAGTGCTTTTTCATCTCAAACTTTTCATACACTTCAATACCACCCAAATTCAATTTAGATAGAGAAATTGTCAAGAAATATCTAGCACAATGCAAACCCTAGTGTAGACACCCCATTTTGACATCAGGCACCTCACTCTAATTGCCCAATGATGAAAATTGGAACACGTAAGATTTTGATACCTTCAGCAAAAAGCCATATCAAAAAGCGCATCCCAACATTACACCCATTTTGGCCAACTATTTTTAGACCCTTAAAACCATTTTCAAAATATTTTTAGGCATGTAAAGTCCAATCACTCTATGATGTTCAAAGCTCACTTTTTAATAAAAAATATTGTACTTTTTGAGAAGTAAAAGTGAATGGAAAAGGAGGAGAATCCTTTACAAAAACCCTATTTCACTTCATTTCTTCCCTGACTGTACAAAATATGCCTAGCTAGACATATTTGTTGCACGCTCGTACAAGTTTAAAATGGTTGTATGACAAATGTTTGGCTGGATATGTTTTGTCTGGCCAGACAACTTAACAGAGCAATTTCTAGAAGATGGTCTCCCATGCATGTGGAAATGTGCCACCTTCGCAATTCTCGTTGGAATTGTGAAGCAAGGCACCTTCTGGCCTATAAATACACCCTTCGATCAGTAGAATAGGAGGTTGGGAGAATTACAAGATTGTAGAGACACCCATTTGTTCTTAAAGCTTTTGAATTCTCAAATTCTCTCTCTCTCTCTCTCTCTCTCTCTATACTTATATCTATACATACAAC